ACTGAAAAAGCCCGATCTCCTCTGAGCTTCAACTTAAAGCAGCTGGTCAGATGATCTCTGCGCCCGAGAAGGAACAAACAGTTGAAGTAGGTCAGAGACAAGAGGGTGAAAGGTCATTTAGGCACTTAAAGGTTAACAGGAGAATTTTAACATCTATTCTGATAGGTACTGGGAGCCAGTGAAGGGAGGACAAAACTGGTAACTGGTAAAAATAATCAGAATGCAAGGTTCTATTTCTTATAGGCTTCTCCCTTAAAGGCTGTCGCTGGTGCGTTTATCCCATCATGCAAAGCAATTCTATAAAACGAGACACGGATTACTAAACTTTATTGACAAACCTGAGCTGAAACTGGTTCTTTAAAATGAAACCAGGTTTTATGAAATTAAAACAATACTTTATTGTAGAAGGTCAAATAGAGCAAAGTAAACGCTTTTCAGTGTCTTGAGTGATACAGAAATGAATTTATCCTCAAACAGGGCGGGTGAGGCTGAGTGGTTAGAGCAGTCGTCATCCAATGCAAGAGTTGGGGGTTCAAATCCACCAGCAGTCATGTGGAAGTGCCCCTGGGCAAGACACTGAACCCCTCATCGCCTCTGATGTGTGTCCCATCAGTGTCTGAATGTGATAAATCTCTGATTAGTCTCTTTAGAATGATTTGTTCAATTAGCTTTGTAGAGATCTAGTATAGAGCTGTATGAATGGGTAAATGAGACAGATTGTTGTAAAGAGCTTTGAGTATCTTGATCAGACAGAAAGGCGCTATATTTTTAAAAAATCGTTGGTTACGTACTGTAACCCCAGATTCTATGAATATAAGCGTAGCCCTTTAAGGCCTTCGCTTTAGTGGGTTTATCCCGTTATGCAGAGCATAAGCACTGAAAAAAATTAGTCCACGCCCACCTGCTGTGTGGGCCCTACCCGGTCCGTATAAATTACGTTAAGAGCGGGAAATCGGCTCCCAAAATAGCTTTTTTCTTCAGCCATTTAGGAGCCAGTGAGGCCCGACGCTTAAAGGGCTACGCTTATATTCATAGAATCTGGGGTTACAGTACGTAACCAACGTTCTATGTCATATAAGCTTCGCCCTTTAAGGCCTTCGCTTTAGTGGGTAAAGGGCGAAGCCGATGTGGTCCTCGCCTCACTGGGTCCATTCGAACACAGTAAGAAGCGGAAGCTTGCCCAAAAAACGTCTTGTCACTCAGCTCCCCATGTGCATAACTACGCATCGCGTAATTATGTGCCATGCACAGACGCATGTTGTGTAGCTATGCGTTCTGACAAAGCATGAATACCCCGGAAAACTTTCAACGGGAAGAAGAAGTTGAAAAGAGGGGGGGGGGGGGG